TCTAGGTGGCTTAGCCCCTGAAGTGGATAGCGCCGTTCGGGCGAGGGGATCATCCTGTGACCGTGCCTCGGACAGAAAGGTTGGCTTGCCCGACGAAGGAAGTAGCGAGGCGCGAAGGGGGAGCGGCCCGGCGCCGGACGGACGAGACCGACGGCCCGCGATGTTGGGGATCGCGATTTTGGGGACCGCGACTTTGGGGACCGCCCGGCTGGCAGCCGCCCCCCTTTTCGACGAGCAAATCAGGTGGGGACACCAGGAAGGTGGCACGGCCGCGCCGTTTGGGGATGGAGCGGCCGCAGCAAGGGAGCTAAGTCAGATGGGGACCGTTGAACGTAACGCAATCGTCGCACTCGTCAGCCAGAACACCCTGTTCCGGGCCGGCCTGGCGAGCCTGTTGATGGAAATGGAGCTGGGCGAGATCGTGCAGGCCGCCAGCCTCAACGACCTGCACAACAGCGGGCGCATCTTCGCCGACGACGCGCAGATGATCCTGCTGATCGACGCCTCCGGCCAGCATGCCAACGCCGTCGACCTGGTGGCGCGCGGGCGCGGCTTCTTCGAGAAGGCCCGCATCGTGATCATGACCGACGACATCAATATCGAGACCATGAGCCGCTGCTTCGCGGCCGGCCTCGACGGCTACCTGCTGGAGGACATCTCGCAGCAGTCGCTGGCCGACAGCCTGCGGCTGGTGCGCCTGGGCGAGAAGATCTTTCCCTCGCGCCTGGCGTCGATCATCGTCGACTACTCGCGCCAGCTCATCGAGCCGCAGATCTGCATGGACAAGATCCGGGCCCACCACCTCTCCGAGCGCGAGGCCGAGGTGCTGAAGTGCCTGGTCAACGGCGACTCCAACAAGCTGATCGCCCGCAAGCTCGACATCACCGAGTCGACCGTGAAGGTGCACCTCAAGTCGATCCTCAAGAAGACCGACGCCGGCAACCGCACCCAGGCGGCGATCTGGGCGCTGAAGCGCAGCAGCGACCTGGACGGCGCACGGCCGAGCGGCCTGACGCCGCAGCTCGCCGCCCAGTGACCGGGCAGTGACCGGGCAGTGACCGGGCCGCGATGGGGCAGTGACCGCGCACTGACCGCCCCGACGGGCGGCGGCGGGCGGCCGTACGAACAGACCTGACGGGCTGGATTGCGGGGCGGGGTCCAACGGAGCCCGCCCCTTCGCTGTCCGCGGCCGCACACTGCGCCCCGCCGTGCGACCGTCGCCGTGCCCCCCACTATGCCCCCCCACGATGCCCCCACCGCCGCGACGCCGGCCGCGATCGGCGCGCCCGGGTCGAGCCGAAAGCCGGGCCGGGCGGGACGGCGGGATCGAACGGCAAGGCGGGAGTCAGGCCGGCAGGCGATTAACCGCGTTGGCGGCGCCATCGGCGCCGAGGTGCACCGACAGCGCCATCACCGCCGCCTGGGTGCGGTTGGCCAGACCCAGGCGGGTGATGATGTCGTGGACGATCTTCTTGACCGTCGGCTCGGGCAGGCGCAGACGCTCTGCGATTTCGCGGTTGGTGTAGCCGCCGGCGAGCTGGCTGAGCACCTTGAGCTGCTCCATGTTGAGCGCGCGCACCGCCTGGCGACGGCGCAGTCCGTCGCGCTGCGGTCCGACCAGGGAGTCCGGCGCCGTCCAGTAGCCGGCCTCGGCCAGGCGCACGATGGCGGGAAGCTGGGCCAGATCCGACTCCACGAAGACCCAGCCGTCGGCCAGCGTGGCGCCGGGACGCCCGCCGGTCCAGTCGCCGAGCGACATGAGAGCGATGATCGGCATGCGCCGCGACAAGGCGGCATAGTCCTTCAGGCTGGCCCGGTCGAGCGACTCCAGCAGCTCGTGCCAGACCACGGCGGCGTCGTACGCGCCGGGCCGGCCGCGCAGGTCCCCCGTCAGGCTTCCCGACAGCCGCGACACGCAGTCGACCTCCAGGCCTGACAGCGCGCTCAGCCGCTCCCCGGCGATTCCGGCCGGGCTGCGTTCCGGCCCGATCAACAGCACCCGCATGACACTCGCGACTCCATATTATTATGCCCAGCCGAAGACAGCCCGCCGGCGGGCGCTTTTGCTTCGATGACAGTTAAGTTCCCGGGACAGGGGTGCTCCAAGTGCCTGACCGGGCAAAAGCTTTCGCCGAAATCGCCGGCCCCGGCGCAACTGGCCAGGGGCCTGCCCTAAAGGTGGCTGACCGTTCGGGTTAGCGGCTGCCCCTGGGGGCGAGGTGCGCCACCCGGTTGCGCGCGACTCCTCCGCCAAACGCTCTGCACCGACGCCCGTTTGCTACGTATCGGACCTCACGACCTCTGCCGATACTTCGCTTCACGCAAGTAGCGATGCCCGCAACGGGACGAGCGGTCTTCACCGGACAAGGCCTTCCGTTTCGGGGGACTTCGGGTCCCGCATCCAGCGGGCGACCGCTTTGGGCAAAGGGGAGGAGAGGTCATGAAACGGGCTTTTGGCAAGCTGAGGGCGACAGCTGCCGTCGCAGGCGCTCTGATCGTAGCGGGCTGTTCGACGGGCCCCTATCCGAGCAAGGGCGTGGAGCCGACCTTCTCGTTTCCGGTCACCGACAACCAGACGCCGTACAGCACCTGCCTGGCGTCGTTGCGGGACGTTCCGGGCAGCAACCTGCCGGTCTTCGCCGTGGGCGAGATTTCCGACAAGACCGGGCAGATCAACTACGACGAAAACGGCCACGCGCTGACCCAGGGCGCCACGGAGATGATGATCTCCGCGCTCTACAAGTCGGGCAAGGCGCGGATGGTCGAGCGCTTCGACCTGCGCATCCCGCTCGCCGAGGTTCGCCTGGCCGAGCAGGGGCGCCTCAGCCGCTCGGTGGAGGACTACGGGCAGCTTCCCGCCTCCGACTTCGTGCTGGTCGGCGCGCTGACCGAGCTGAACTACAACATCGTGTCCGAGGGGGCACAGCTCTTCATCAAGGGCATCGGCGGCGGCGCGCGCACGGTCGTGATCAACGTCGCGCTGGATGTGCGCGTGATCAACTCGCGCAACTTCTCGGTGCCCTACGTCACCTCCCTGCAGAAGCAGATCTACGGCTTCGAAGTCGAGGCCAACATCTTCCGCTTCTTCGGGGACACCCTGGTCGAGTTCGACGCCGGGCGGATCCAAAACGAACCGCTTCAGCTCGGCGTCCGGTCGGTGGTCGAGATGGCCGTCTTCCAGATCATGACGGACTTCCTCGGTCTGCCGTCCACCCAAGGGTGCGACCTCGTGAAGACCGACTTCATGGGCGAACACCTCAAGCGGTTCGAATCCTAAACCAACTAGGAGTAGTCGTGAGATGACCAAGTATCGTCTTCTGGCGGGCACGGCGATCATCGCCGGTTCCGCCCTGGCGGGCTCGCAGGCGATGGCCTTCGACCGGGTCGACTGGAGCTGGACCCTGGACGCCAACACCGAGATCGACACCAACGTCGACGTCGACGTCGACATCGACCCCACCGGCTACCTGGGCCTGGAGAAGTTCCAGATCCACATCGGTGACCTGACCGCGACCTCGAACGTCTCCGGCATCTACAACAACCAGCCGAGCGGCGAGGGCCAGACCATCGAGGTGCCCCTCACCCTGACCCTGGACGGCGACGTCTCGACCACCGGCATCGGTGTCGACTCCTTCGCCGGTGCCGAGGTGACCGACGAGGACGACAACGTGCTGGCCTCCGTGTCCGACACGGTCAGCGGCGCCGGCATCAACCCGGGCGGCAACTTCGACGCGACCGCGGACTTCGTGGTCTCCGTCGAGATCCCCGGCGAGGCGACCTCCTTCGACGCCCTCACCGAGCTGCCCGAGGTCGTGAGCACGGCCACCGCGGTCGCCAACAACCAGAGCATCGAGACCGAGGTCGCCACCGAGATCCACGACGGCCAGTACGCCTTCGACGCCGCCGAGGATCCCAGCCTCGTCGACGCCCTCGGCACCCTGGGCGGCGGCCTGCTGTTCGCTCACCTCGAGCACCAGGGCATCAACACCGGCCTGTCCATGGCCCTCGGCCTGACGACCGCGGCCACCCTGGGCGGCCTGGAGAAGGCCCAGATCTCGGCCACCTCGACCGTCGACGACATCCTCAACGCGTCGGTCGACAGCGCCGCGACGGCGGTCGCCAACAACATGTCGGTTGAGCTGGACGCCGTCACCTCCGACGACGCCTACCTGCTGGCCGACGTCAACCAGTTCGCCTACGCCGACCTGACGGCCATGTCGAGCGTGTCCAACGTGAACGTGAACAACTACACCAACCTGGGCGCCCTCGACCGTCCGCTGGTCAGCTCGGTCGCCACGGCGGTGGGCAAC